ATTTAAAAAACATACCAAAAATAGAATGCAATTAATGTTCCCTATTTTTTTGCTTACTATTTTTGAAAAATGTTAATTCTTATTATATACATATAGATTAATATAAATATTAGTTAATTATTGTGTATCCACTAAAAATTACAACACGGAAGCAGGGGCGGACCTACATGTTAGTTGGGAAGGCCATTGTCCCTCAAACATTTTTTTTTTCTTCTATTAAGTATATATAAAATTTTATTTTTACATTAATCTTTAATTTAAATAAATAGTTTAAGGATTTGATAATCAACAATCTTACCTAAAAATAGAGAATTCAAAGAAGAGTATTAGTAGAAGAATCTGTACACCTCTATCCTAATCCATTTGTACTAGTCCATGTATTAATTATTATAAATAATAATTAGATCTTGTAAGTCTTCTATAAATACGCTTGTATATAACTTAATACGAGGAGTAAATTTAATATACCGAGCACTTAAGATATGCAATATTTAATGTGGTGGAAATATATGATATACGGTTATAGAAAATTCGAACATGAGATTTTTTGTTTATTTTTCTGTTTTTTTATATTGTACATGTTCGAGTCAACTAATAATATGTTTCATATTTTGAAAAACTTAAACAACTCCAATTGTTAGAAACGTTTAGAAGTACATATTTTTTCTATTATATAGAACATATGATATTTTTAAAAGATCCGCCCTGCACGTAAGATTTTGAGCTACCAGGANAGAAAGTCATGTACCAACATAAAAATTCATAAATTTTATAGAGGAATATTAATGTATAGAGGAATATCATGACTAGCGTATTCTATATTCTGTTAACTAATGTTTCTTGTCATTAGAAGATCCCTTTTGTTCAAGGAAGACGTTCCTCATATAAATGAAACTCACCTCTCTTTTTGCATAGAGAATAAATGATATTAATTATAATAATTAAATTCGTGACAAAGGAAACTATCACAAATACATAATTTATTTTTATTATAGTGAATGGACCAAAATTAATAAAGTTAGCAACTTAACATATTAAAGTTGAAATTGAGACAACTTAAGGGAATGAAACTGAAAAAATGATCCAATTAAAGAACCAAATTTGTCACCTCGCTTATCACGTAACATGACGCCATTTGTGCATTATAAGTGAAAAAACTCGCGATTTAACGAACTGTTTTTTATGAGGAAAAAATTATTGTACCAACTTTCTACGATGGTCAATTTAGATGATCAAAATAAAAATTTTGCCGGATAATTAATAATTTATTGAGAAGGAACTAAATTATGTTAATATTTCAAAGTTTATAATGTTTAATAGAAGGATAATTGATCGTACTAATAAGGGCATTAAATTATGTTAGAATTAAAAAAGAAAAAAAAAAAGAATAGAATAAATGCTAGTTGTTTTGTGTATCCAACTGTTACAGATTGCAACTTTATGCGCGGTTGTACTGTGAATTAATATTTGATTAGTTCATACGCATGTTGTATTCAAATTAAATAATCTTTAGTTGGTAAAACGAATATTTTTAAGAAGCTCGAGTTTATCCCATAAGTTTTTTTATTTATATTTCAAATAAGTCCATTGAAATTTTTATTTCAGTTAATTTTACTAAATATTTTTATTATACAAGCTAGTTTTCAGTCATAAGTCATATGTTATAAGCTATAAGCTTGAAATTCACTTAAAAAAACTATAAGTTAGTTTACCAGTTAGGTTTGATAAGCTCGAAATTCACTTAAAAACTATAAACTAGCTTATCAACTAGGTATACCAAACATAGTTTATGACTTATGGCTGAAAAACTAGCTTATATAATAAAACTTTTTAGTAAAATTAGCTGATAAGCTACCTGAAAGCAAAATTTCAATTGATTTATTTGAAAAGCTAACCAAGAAAGCTTATATGATAAGCTCGAGCTTTTTAAAAAAACTCATTCTACCATACCAAACTTATTTGAATACAAGAAGTTTATAACCTAATCAAATAAGATATAAGCCAACTTATATGTTTACCAAACACAGTCATAAGTTATCATCTATAAATACTAAATTCACTTAAAAGCTATAAGCTAGTTTACTAGATAGGTTACCGAACCTAGCCATCAATGAAATTAAACATGCATAAATAAAAGGGAAAATTACTCCCCTTACATTTGCTTATGGAAATAATATCATAATTACGAGTACCAAAAATTTTCATCAAATATACGTTCAGGTGGTTATTTGGGGCCTAATTAACCGCTAATTGGATATAATTATTAATTAGAAAAGAATCAATCTCTCTCTCTCTCTCTTCATATCCGGTTATTGTGTACAGAACTTCATCTCTTACCAAACAAAGAAAAAAATAAAATAAAATTATCTCTCATCTCTTATACACAAAACAACCGAACTCACTCAGCGAAAAAATTCATCGACCCAAAAGATATTATCGCACACAGACACACACACACAAGATGGCGACGACGACAACACCTCCATCGAAAAACCCTGTCAATGGCTCTGATGTCGATTTGAAGCCTCTGGCTGTCGGAGACGACCCATCGAAGCAGACGCGAGCATCCTTCGGCAGAGGCGTTGTCGAATCGAAGGGTTAATCCAATGATGCTCATGACGGTGTTGCTGCTGTCACTAATATCCAGAAGAAGATGAAGCGCGCGGAGCGGTTCGGCATGCCGGTGCAGATGACGGAGGAGGAAAAGCGTAGTTCCCGATTTGTGTGCGCTGCCACGAAGGTGTAGCAAACATATACACAAATTATAGTTAGTTATACATAATCTACATTGTGTTGTTTTTTGGAGCGCGCAAAGTTGTTGGTTGAACTTTGTAAATGTCGTTTAAAGTACACATGCGTTGTTTATCTTATGTATGACTACATTTGATTTTCTATTTTGCAGTAAGTCAGAATTATGTATTATGTTTTATCCCGTTTTGGTGTTGTAATGTTGTTTATTTTACGTACAACTATATGGTTAATATTAGACAACTGTCAGAACATGTTTATATGATGTATATATACAGTATATGTGAACTGTCAATCATGTCCAATCCCGATCTGAGATTTATTTTTTTCATGGACGATTTTTTTCGGATTCAAGATGTGGAAGAACGGAGAATTCCGTTTGAATTTTTAAATTCATAAATCTCTTAATTCTAGGTATCATATTTGGTAATTCTTTATTCTTCCTTTTTTCTACTTCCTTTTTGTTTGCAGTTCATCCGGGTAAATTGATAGCATATGGAGGGAGAAACCGATAATTAGGTGAGAGAAACTAATATGGAGAGAGGAAAAAGGATCAGGTGATATAAAGTGCAATCTCGTTTATATAAAATAAAGATCACATACTAATCCTGTTTTGATTAATTTTTGCACGGGTTGTATATATGTAAATATATGTACAAGGGAGGCTATGTATGTAATTTTTCCTTAATAAAATTGAGGTCCGTATAGAAATTTGGGCTCGGGCCCACTAAATTCGCATGCCTTTTGGGCTCGGGCCCACTAAATCCGCCTGCCGAACAATAATGTATGGAGTTGAAATGCAGAAAAAGAAAAGGACAGAAAAGATGAAAGGTTAACCCCTACGGCACCTACTCTTAATTAAATACTATTTTTTTGAGATTTGCATCAAAATGCGAGATGATTCTGTAAGCTCGTGCATGCGATTTTATGCATTCGATAATGATATACAATATTTGTTCGTGCGGATTTATGACATGAAACATATATTTTATTAACGTTGAAACAGATGAGAGAGTATACGTAAAAGTACAACAAACATCGGATGGGATTAAATTATTACATGTTTTTGGCATCACAAAAGTAACAAACGCCAAGAAATAAACGATTAATACAATATAACAAAGATGGACATAAATTTTGATATAATTGATCCGTTTCGAAATGCTTATTTGAAAATAATTGATCCGGAACAAATTGCATCCAATTAGGTAAAGTCAGTCAAGTAATTTGGATGGTCAATTTTTTCTCTTCGTAAAAAAAATAAATGTATTTTCTGTCACACGGTAGATCTTGTATTAGGCCAAACAATTAGACCAGTGTGTAACCTTTTTCATAAATACGTATAACTATATTAGAAAATGTCATACTTTAAAAAATATCATATATAAAAATATTGCAAAATATGACATTTGATAATACAAATACATACATTTGTTTATATATTATAACTTATCAACTCATTTAATGATTAGACCAACTCATATAAGAATTTGTTTTCTTTCCACCTGCGCCTTGAGATTTATTACACTTTCTTGCAAGAAGATTCATCAATCCTATTTATACCTAGACCGATCTTTGAATATGACAACACGATATGCACTACATAATATTTTAAATAATAATAATAATATAATGAGAAAATCTTAATAAACTATACAGTATAACTAACAAAAGGTCTGTNAAAAAAAAATAAAAAAATAAGAGATCAATTTCTAATTAATTTACACACCTCTACAATATTTAACGTGATCTTAATAATCATCATCACACTATAAATAAATACTCAAGACAGCCCGTTTTCGAAAGAGACAACTAAAAATTTTCAATAAAAGCTTCCCTGGAAACATATTTTCACCAATCAACTAAGGCTTTGAGTAGCCTATGTTTGGTAAACGTAACTGATGACTTAGAACTAAAAAGCTAGTTTATAGATAATAATTTATAACTTAATGCTAAAAAGTTAGCTTATATGATAACTTATAACTTAGAGCTAAAATATTAACTTATATGGTAAAAGTACTTGGTAAAATTAACTAAATAAGCTAACTGATACAAAAGTTTTCTTATTTGAAAAGCTACCCAAAGAAGCTTATCAGATAAACTCAAATTTTTTTAAAAAATTTGTCCTACCAAACCAAATTTATTTGAACACATAAAACTTATAAGCTAATTAAATAAGTTAAGCTAAACTTATATGTTTACCAAACACAACCTAAACATATTTCAACAAAACATATCTAGCACGGCAAAATGTTCATTAATCTTGCAATCTATGACCTTCAAGCATCATTCAAAACATTTGCATTTATGAATGCAGGAAAATGTATTCCAAGCGATACATATCAAAGTTCAAGCATCATTCAAAACATTTGCAGTCTGAATAAAAAAGTTTATGAGTGCAGGAAAATGTATTCCAAGCGATACATATCAAATGTTCGATAAAAACTCGGTCAACTTAGTTATCTTGTGTAGTACCTTAGTGACAATCAGTAAGTCTCATCCTCTTTTTCGAACTGTTTGCTACAAAATCTAACACTCGTTTCAATTTGGATACCAAACTTATCCTAGGAAGTTCATGATAACCAAGTGAAGTACCAAATTGCAGAGGACAAAATCTGCAAAAGCACGTTCTGGAGGTAAATCCTGCAAAATTGAGAGAAAAAAGAGTAAATTTTAAATTGTAAGTAAAGCCACTATCATCAACAGCTATATTTGTCGGCTGTTGGATTATGAATGAGCTTTATCAACTTAAGAAATGGATCAACAAAATATATCTCGAGATGAGCTACCTTGAATTCCTTGTTTTCTTTGTTTACTTGAATCCGAAGGCAAACTGTCATCAAAGAGCACCAAAAATTAAAAAAAAAAAAAGTGTTTATCCATATTAAATAAATATTCTACAAGAAAAGAAATTGCCAGTGCCTTCAACTTACCAGCAAGAACAGCAGTCCCCACACAAGAAAGTACACCCGAAAGAAAGGAGTTGAAGGGGAATGATCCAACAATGGCCATGTAAAGGACCTAATATCAGCAAAATCAAACAGCAGATCAGTTTACGTGTAGAAACACAAAATATAAAGTAGCCTACTTTAGAAAGCGTGTGCGTGAAGAATCTGAGATCAGCTTTCTTACGTGACTATAAGATCACAACCAACTCATCTATGCCCAAATTTTGCCATTGTTTTTTTTTTTTTTAAGTAAAGAAAAAGATATTGCTCTTTTACGCCACCCACATGTTTAAATTAGTAGCACAATTAGGTTAAGAACAACTATAACTATCTGACATAAGGAGAAAACAAAAATATTTGTCCTTAGGGCCTTATCACAGAGAACAGAAGCCAAGAGATCCATCAAATATTAAAATTACAAAAATGATGAATACGCCATCAAACAAATCAATAAATTAAACAATATCCAGACCATATGACAAAACCTTAAATAACCAGTCCACATCGTCAACCCTGAAAATGGCATAAAACAACGATGATAATATGCGATTTCATATTCTTCAATTTCTTTATGTATCTTATGTGTCAACATGATCCAACCAAGCAGACAAGTAGAGAATTTTGCACCTTTCTCTTCAAGGAACTGAGACTGCTATGACTCATGTTAAGGCAGTTTTCATGTCCAGAGCAAATTCACATAAGGAAAAAAAGCTTATATAGACTCCTTCCCTTCCCAGACTTACAGACTTATCTTATCTACTGAGAAGTAATGATCTCTTACAAACTCTTCAACTCGCATAGTTGATAGTGCGAGAAAATCATTAATGACTGAAAAAGTACGCGTCATCTAATCAAGAAAACGGAATTCAAGGGTTGATAAACAGTAAATTACAACTATGGTATTATGAGAATATTTTTTATTATTGTAATTTGTAGTACTAGAAACCAAATATTTTCACCTCATTGATTTATGATCTAATTAACACTCCCAACTCATTTTCCATCCTACTCATACATCTATGATCTACTATATGCACCCAAAAACATATATTCATTGCCATCACTATACAACAACTATCATAGTAGATGAAAGCAAAGAAATATACAGATCACATCTCTTATTTTCTTGTCTGACATTTCATTAATGTTTCAGTTAGAGCTCGAAGTGAATCAACATAACTTTAGAACTTTCTTCATTTAAAGTCTGGTGTCGAATTCTTCAATAGAAAAATGTACCAATCTTTTTCTTTCTAAATCCAATTCTCAAATTGAATTAACTGGGTTGAATCCAGAAAATTAATAATGTATGAAATGGACTGTCATGGTCCCATATCTTAACTACCCATCTCAAATCAACCCAAACAGATCTATAACACAAACTCAAATAATCGAGCATATTGCAATAAAACCCATCATCGTCAAAATCAGGGAANATTCTTCCACAAGAACCAGCTCAAAATCCCATCTTTACACACCTACCGCACAAGATATTGGTGGCAGAATCAATTAAATTAAAATCAACCCAACAATATATTTCAGATCGAACCACAAGAAGTCAACGATTATATACAACACCAATCAAACAAAATCAGTGAATAAAGGACCTGAATCACAGCAGTGACGACTGCAAAGACAATGTAGAGATCGATGATCTGCAATTGAAAAAAATAAAAAGAAGAATTAAGCAAGAAAATCGTAAATACAATTTCCAACAATTCAAGCACGCACGCTACACATAATCGAACACGCTTGGACCTTGAGATTAGTTGGAGTGGCCGCGTAGGCCGTACGAAGAGAATGAAACAGGTCCTGGGCATCCTTAGCCGTCGTTGACGTCGTCGATCTCCCCATTTTTCACACACCTAAACACGCACTCGCTCTGTCTCTGATTGGAGACTGATACGGAGACTTGGAGTGATAAAAGTCTTCTCAAAGAAAAAGGCTCTGGAAAACAGTGACACTGTAAGAACTTGTGCATTCAAGAACATCTAAGGCCCATTTTCATGTGGAAGCCCATTCATTGTAGAGGCATACTTTTTGTTGGGCTTCGTCTAACGGGTAAGCCTAAAATACAAATTGCACCATGGATTAATTATTAAGAATTTTTCCCCTCAAAAGTTGAGGGAACAATTATAAACTAGTAAATAGGTAAAATAATTGACTCTACTGAAAAATAATAATAATAATAATAATAATAATAATATAACTAGTCTGTTTGGTAAGCACCATAAGCTAAACTTATAACTTATTTGGTTCGTTTATAAGATTTATGTATTAAAATAAACTTAGTTTGATAGAAAGAGCTTTTTAAAAAGTTTGAGTTTATCTCATAAGCTACATTTAGTACTTTTCAAATCAGCTCATTGAAAATTTAATCAACCAATTTATCAGCTAATTTTACCAAACACTTAGATATAAGAATTTTTTATTTTGTTTAGATTTTTTGGTTTGATTTGGTGAATTTTAACAAATATAGTATGGTTAGTTGTCAGTGGGTATATTAAAATAATATTTATAATAAAATAATTAAAGTTGATTTGATTAAAAATAAAAGAAAGATGATGTGAAGTGGTGGTTAGTTAAAATTATGTAAGTTAATGAATAATGAATTAAGATTGATGTAGAGTGTAAAAATGATTGATCGATATTATTTAATAATATTGATAATATTGATGATAGTGGGGTTGAGTTAAATTTGAGTTAAAAAAGTGGTTAGCTAAAAATATTTGAATTTTTTTAAAATTTTTTGTATCCAAGCATTCTCTCAACTAGCTATAAGGTAGCTGCTGACTTATAAGTAAATTTCGAGCTTACAGTTGATGGCGAAGATAAATTTGTTAAGAAAATCATTCCATATTGACCATATCATATTATCTATATTAATTTTTATTAGAAAAAATTACTACAACAAAAGTAAAATACAAAAAAAATTCCATAAGTTTATTTAGGATATTCTCTTTAATAATATATAGATAGATATTAATATACAATAATCTTTTTAACTAATTAAGAATTCTATAATGGTCAATGGATAGTTTTAACATTAGCGAAATGAATAAATAAAATTAAAATATGCAAATTGACAAACATATATAAAAAAATTATTTTTCTTATTCCTAGTGCTAATCTTCTACAAGATGATGTGTACCGATGACTAGACAAAAACACCCTCTTTCAACAACGAAAACTACACTGGTTGCTTCAGCCACAAGCATGCCTGCGGGACAAATTCGTAAATGCACTTTTTTAAGCGTCGGCAATGGTAGGCGGTGGATTTTATTCCACTTCAATGATTAGACTGTTTTTCATCGATCTAGGGCTTCAATCAGCAAGCAAAAGCAGCAGAGAAGAAGAAGAGATTTTAAGAATTCGACGACTTCTCTAATTGAATGTACGCTTGAATTACCGTCTTATAGTTTTCAATTTTTTCATGTAGTTTTTGTTTTGTAATGATACTGACCCATAGCTTCAGCTGTTTTTGGTGTACAGTGTTGTGGATCGAGTTTTCTTGTGATTTTTGTTGCTTTTTTGTGCGTTTGTTACCTTTTAACTTTCGGAGACCGAATTTTTGTTCCATGGGAATGGTGAATTTTGATAGGAAGTGTCAAGTCCTTTGCAGTTTTCATGAGTTTAAAATTTGTATGCTGTGTTGTATGTATTTTATCATGGATTATGGTTCTCGCATCCTGTTTATGTAGTCTATTTGATGCCTGAGGGGTTATAATTTGCTTGCATAAACCTGTTTGGATTTTAGCTTTCTGGCTTGATTTGTTATATCCTTGACTTTTGGGTTTGTAATTGAAATTTGTATGTCTTTTACTTGATCTAGTAGAGTTTTGCTTGGATTGCATTAGAATCTGAATTTTGGTATGGACTTGTTAAAAAAAAAAATGAAATTATTTCTCCTTTGGACTGAAATCAAAGTAATCAAATTCTTCAATGTTCAAACCTTTATGATTAGTTGAACTGCCTCTTATTACACCTTGCTTTCTTTTGATCCATGATATGGTATTTACATGAGTGGTGGATTACAGATTTAGTGTGTATGTTATTACCCTTTCATTTCCCATTCAATGAATGATATTTATGTGTGACTTTGTACTTTTTTGGTGGATCATGGATTTCATGGGTCCCACTTTCCAAATATGGAGAATTTGGGAACACTGATAGTTTTAACAGTGATTGAGAAAGGCGTGAGGGTTCCAGAAGCGACAAGCCTGTTATTTTCCAAGGTGTTAAGTGAGGCGCTTGATTCATCAAAGCGATGCGAGCCAATATGCAAAAATAAAGATTCATCGACAATGAAAAATTACATATAGTCTAGGTGAAAATAGAAAAAGTCAAATGAGATTTTTTTACACAAAAAAGAGCCTTGAATTTTGACTATAATAGCTAGTTTTATTTTTGTAACCCATGCACTCACCAGAGTATAGAATTTTCTCACTACACTCTAAAAGAATATTATTTGAAAATAGGTACAATTAGTGTTCTATAGAAGGCTTATCAGGTTCCACCAGAAAAAAAAGGGGTGGGAAACAGAAGAGCTCTGGTGACGTCCAATACCGCAGATGATGGGTTGAACGGCTACCAGAAGTTGAGAAAAAGGGAGAAAAAGAAAAGACAAGAAGAAAAGAATGTGAAAAGGAACACCTTCCCTCTCAGTTAGTCAGTGTCAGAAGCCATTAGTCTCCAGAAAGAAAAAAAAAAAAAAAAAAATNAAAATCGCCAGGTTCAGGTAGCTGGGCTTAAATGAAGGGAAAACACAAGCCAATTGAGGGTTTGGTTGAGGCGAAGAAGTGTAACTGATATCTAATTTATGAAAAAACATAAACTAATGCTCTCAATTTAGGGTTAGTGCCTCGATTAATCAATGCAAGCGCCTCGCTGAGGTGAACCACAGGCAAGGTGAGCGCCTTAGTGTCGCATTTCACAAGTGCACAATGCCATGCCATGCCATGGATTCACCATTTTTAATAATTAGGCACATGCATTGCATCACTCTAGGCAGCGAATGTTTCTTCAGAGCTGAGTTGTGTTGACATTATTACGGGTTAAGATTGGGAGTGTTAGCTTGAGGATGTTTTAGAAAAGTGTTTCTATGTGTGCATTAGGTTTACTTGGGTTAAGATTAGAAGTGTTAGCTTGAAGATATTTTAGAAAATTGTGGCTATGCGTGAATTAGGATTGCTTGTGTACTATAGTGAAAGTGCGAGATGCTTGAGATGGACTTTGAGTTACTCTTTTTAGGTGGTTGTAGTTTTTCTTTTGTTCCTGTTGTTTTCCTCATCTTTGTTCCTCAGATACATTTTTCCTTCCTCTTATATAATTTTTGGAAGAGAAAATGGTTTGAACTGTAATAAATTGAGGACGAGTTTATCTTCTGGCGCCTGTGTGCATGTGCTCAGATCTAATGGTTGCACATGCTTTGTTTGGCTTAGTAAGGATTTAATTACAAATTTAATTGTTAGCTGCCCATGTAGATAAAATTAAATGGTTATAAAGATACGAAGATTCTGTTAAGAATTAATGCCTGGTAAATGCTTTGCTTGGTTTGGTAAGAAATAAGAAATTAGTTACAGATCTTATTGTTTGTTGCTCATGTAGACAATTTTGATTACTATAATATGCACTGATACTGGTAAGCATGTAAAGAATGATCAAGTTGTCCATACCATTTTTCCTCATTTAAATGCAGTAACTATGTGCCTCATACATGTTCATAACTGTTGGTTTATCTGTTGAGTGTTTTGTCTTTGCAGTAACACGTCAACTTCTAATAACTGTTATTTACCTAAACGTGGGTGCCCTACTTATAGTTCAGTTCGGGAACATATATTTCTTTGATGTTGAGGTTTCAGATAATGGAGGAAACCACCTACATCTTTTAGTCCCCATTGGACCAGGAAAAATAGCCCCACATGGAGGGTGCTTGTGATGTGCGCTACAAATGCCAACTAAGGTACTTCAGTGTATTATATATTCAATTTTTAAGATATATAGTTAGCATTTTATTTTATCACAAATTAAACAATTGTGAACATATATATGTGTGTGTGTGTGTGTGTGTGTGTGTGAGTGAGTGAGTGAGTGTGTGTGTAAAGCCTAAATAATTAATACAGATCTCGAATCTTTTAGACTAAATTTTAATTCTTGATTTAAATCTTTCCAAATTCATTAATGAACCAACCAGTTCAGGTTTTATCTAATAAACTAACTCCTAATAGTAATTGCCAAATTTGGCTGAAATTTTTTTGGAGGGAAAATTTGTGACATATAGATTATCAGTCCGTACTTGCTTTTATCTTTCTTCATATTCAGCTGAAACATTTGGCCTGATGTTCAGGTTTTCTCCAACGTGTTGGTAACTTTGGTCTTCTGAGGGTAACTTAAGGAGGAAATTGTCGGAACATTTCATTCAACCAAGTGGCTGTGAACTTGTGGTTAGACAATTATTCAGTAGGCAGACATGAACACAGAGTACGTAAAGGTATTGGATAATGGCAGTGGAGTTGTTAATCTGAAGAGAAAGCAACCGGATCGAGGCAACATCCCCAATCATGCCAAGCATAGAAAGGTGGATGGATTGGGAAGCAAGTATTACGGGTGTGCTTTGCCAACTAAGAAATATCTGCTTAAGTATTATTCTAACTTTAAAAAAAGTGAGCCTCTCCATCGTTTGATGTATTATTACAATGATGAATGGAATGAATTCCCCCAGTATGTTGTTACGATTGTGAACAAAGATTTTCTTGTTAAGAAGTCTGCTGTGGAAGTGGAGGTTGATGGAAGTATGATCTTGCTCGACTTCTTGCGGATGATGCTGCTAGACTTCAAAACTGGTCTACATCAGCCTTTTGGTTGGATTGATGTGACCGGAAAATGTTTCTTCCCTGAAATATTTAGCCACTATGAACCAGATGATGCTCAATACCATCACAACCTAGGATCTGAAGGTCACAGTCATTTGGGAGGTGAGACTCCAAAACCTAATTATGTCAACTTGAATTTGGAGATTGAAATACGAAGATCAGATGAAGAATCTAGTGGGGACTTTTCCCCTATTGTCGTGAACGTACAAGCTCATCAGAATGCTGCACTAGAAGATGTTGATGAAGTGAACAGTTGTTCCAAAATTGTGAATGTAGACATTGGTGAGGAGTGTGGGGACAATCAACAAATGGCAGGAAACATGGTTCTCTCCGTTAAGCCTGTAAATCGGTCTTTGAGTTCTCATGCTGTGATGGAGTTATTATGTAAAGCTTTTAGCTCATGTTCTGCAGAAGTCGTTGAGATACTTCCATGCAAGAGCACTGTAATGGAAAGTCGGTTGGAACTTTTTGAGAAGCAGGTTGAAATTACTCAAAGGCACCGTGGAGATGCAAATGTCCAATATGCATGGCTTCCGTGTTCAAGCAGAATGGTCTCGACTGTACTGAAGTATGGGATCGGGCACTATAACCATTTGAAAATCAATGCCTCACATGGTAATGGAATACATCTGATCCCTGCAAACGGCACCCAGATCAGGTTTGATTTTTCAGAACTTTTCCCATGTTTATGGTTTTTTTGGTGGAATGAGCCATCATTAGTGTATTCTGCTGCCCATATTCTGCTGCCCATTTTTCCATTGTGTAAATACTAACGATGTTTTCTACAAGTAAGTTGACTGCATTGTGAGTCTGTGTACTTTTGTGTTCTACTGTTCTATACATAATGAGCTACCAGTTAATTTTTTTCTTCAATTCTTTGAAAATAAACATAGCTATTCCACCTATGTTTTACTATGCTTGATCTTTTTATCATCTTAATCCACCTATGTTTTACTATGCTTGATTTTTTTATCATCTTAATGATTAGATATTATTTGTTTTTCTTCCACCATTGTTTATCAAAATATGATACTATCCCAACTTATGCATGTATGTGTGGATGTGCGTGTCTGGGAATTTTAGATATTCTGAACTTGAGATAGAAGCAGAATGACATTAGTGGGAGGTTGTTTATGGTAAAAGTGTGAAATGGCTCGCTTCACATGAACAATCACAGCAAGAATGAAGTTTTTGGTTGCCATTTGCCTATGATTACCACTCAAGGGAGTCTGTTCATTTTTGCTTGTGATAGGCACCATACCCATTTTCAGTATTTGTATATATCAATGGCGATCGTTTCTATTTAAAATTTCATCCCGGTGCTGCATTTTTTAATGGATTACATGTGTGGAACTATACTTTTCTGTTTTTTCAGTATCAGTTCTTTTGATGTTGACAAAAATGAGACGCGGCATATGGTATTGTGTCGTGTTATAATGGGGAATATGGAGCTTGTTCGCTGTGACTCAAAACAGTTCTATCCCAGTTGTGAGGACTTTGATAGCGGTGTTGACAGACTTCAAACTCCAAACATTTATGTTGTATGGAGCATGAATACGAACTCTCATATATATCCGGAATGTATTGTTAGTTTCAAAACATCTGATCTTGCAGGTATAGTTTAGCTTGCAATTTATTTTCTTTATCCATGATGTGTAGAGATGTTATATAACCTGTTATGGTTCCAAAAATCATTTTGAAGTTACTAATCACCACGTTAGTTTTTAGAATTCAATCTGTCAATCAGTCAATGTCGTGTTGTATACGTTAAGTGAGCACTTAGCTAGTATTCTAGCGATTACAGGAACTACTATCCTTATAAGTCATATACCCACTTCTTTTTCTTGAGGCAAAGATTTTAAGTAGATATTTTGTTTTGTGGCATCTTTTCCTTCTATGCTCTTCCGATGTAAACTATTGCTGTCAGAAAAAAAGCCCCAAAGAATTTTGCAAGACTTCTCAACTCAACTTTAATTAGCTTGAGCTTTCTATCTTAACTTTGGTGATAAGGACGATTTATATGTGATTTCCTTATATATTGTCCCCTGCTTTCCTTGCCACTATTTAGCAGTTGAGCTCTTGTTTCTTCCATTCTTCCACAGATCCTTTGTGTGTGCAGCAAAACGAGGTTTGTATTTCCCGGTTCAGTTGTTTTGAAGGACCTCAAACCCAGGTAGTCTTACTCACAGAGTTGGTCATTTTGGTGGTTAATACATGTTTGAAGTTTATTTCCTTTCTTTCCTTCTCTTCTTTACAGATTTATTTTCTTATTAATGTTTCTATTGATTTTAGAAAATGTAATATCATGGGCGTCTAGGACTACACCTAACATTCATAGTGTTTATCGTGCATGCCATTGGAATTCTACTTGTTTTCTGTAAATAGCTGTTTCACCTTCTTTTTTGCACCGAGGATATAGCAGTATTTGAAATCTCCATTCAATATGGGGGCGTTCAACAGCTTTTGTCTGCAGATAGCAAAGTTAAGAGGTTACTCATTGGCGTAGCTCAATGTGAAAGACGTTTGTCATTTATATTAAAAATAAAATAAGAATGGTGAAAAAAAAAACTTGAGGATAGATCAAGTGGTTGAAAACATGGGAAAATCCTATCCATGAGGATGGGAAACGTCATTGATGCTAGACTTATTCAATCTTTCCTTTCCTCACTAATTAGGAGGTGTTGGAACAGGTGGGAGGTGCAGGATTTTTAAGACTGGTAATTTATGAAGATCATTTTATGTGTTTTAAGTTATTTTACCGGAATGAACAATTTAATACGTCCAATTATACATTCTACATGGAGAAAAATTCAGGAGTTTCAACCTTTTTGTGTCTCTATACCTGTGTGTGTGTGTGTGTGTAGTATCAGAAAACTGTCTTAAGTTAGCTATGGTTTGGAGAATTTTTATATGTCGGTCATATATTGACTACTGTCGAGAATAGTATTTTTTATTTATTTATTTATTTTTTTCCGAGCGTGTTATTTTCTATACTTATGAGAGTTTACTATAACAGATTGTAGGTGAAACTGTTCGATCAAGGGCACCCAAGAGCCCATGCGTGCCTTTTCCTATGCTATTTACTGCCATTGCCGACAAGGTCACTTCTGAAAGAATGAACCTTGTGAGAACCAACTATACGTTGTTGAAGGTATGTGACTGACTGGGGCTCACATTTCAATTTCCTCATCTTTTATTCTGCTCTAGCTTTTTGTAAATTTGTTCGTATTTCTGTTCCCTAGAATAAGAAGATGAGTAGAGATGCATTTGTTAAGAAGCTGAGGCTGATTGTTGGGGATAATGTACTGAAGTCAGCAATAACTACTCTTCAGTGCGAGGTATGGTTGACGATTTTCACTTATTATTTGTTGGATGAATTCCTGTTTTACCCTTCCACAAGTTGTTGCAATTTGTGTAAGGCTTATGGGTTTGAGTTGAGACACATATATTCGCAGCTAACACGTTACATGCACACAACTAACCTGAAACAAGGCTGTTTATCCATTTGTATGTGTTAATTTTCGAGACGACACTTATATTTGCTCAAGATGGACAATTATCTTGATCTTAACTGAAATTTCCTTACAGCCTAGAATTATTTTTATCTATATTCCAAGTTACTGTCACTGTCTTTTTCATGGTCAGTTTGCATTCTGGTGTTTGCAGGTGTTACCAACCTCGAATGCTGAAAAGCTACTTGCACCTGAAGCAAGTCAGTTTTAAAATTGGGCAAATGTTCTAGTAAACTGTTTATGAACCTGCTAAGTGCCAACGATGATTGGGTACACTTTGTTTGTTTTGCTTTAACCTGATAATTACCTTGTGATCTGTTGTGTTTGTTTTAAGGGTGATAAATATGGACTTGTGCCATTGATCTGATGGTTATAGACATGCCTTGTTTTCTTGAATATGGTTGATTAGTTGACTTACTACATATGGGTTAAAATGGCTGAAGTTGTCTGGAATATCTTGCAATAGAATCGGTTATTACGGTTAAAGATTAAATTTGGAACTGTTGTTTCTTACATAAACTTTTGGAGGTCTTATGTCGGTTTTAGCAGGTTACCTTGGTTAAATTTTGAATAGAAAATTGTAGTTTTATCATAATTTATTGCGTGAGGTCTACCTAATGATCGTTAGGCATGTCGACTCATCATATATTTGTTAACAAAAGTGCGTATTTATACTAGTCGCTAAAACTCTGATTTGAAACTGTTGTTCCTTGCATAAAATTTGGGGGGTTTGGTCGGTTCTAGCAGTTTATGTCAGTTATATTTTGAACACAGAATAGTATTTTTTTTCTCACATTTTTGTGTGAGGTTGACTACCCGATTTGTTTTTACTTTGCTAACATAAGTGGATATTTGTACCAGCCACTGTCATATTTCTATTTATGTATGTAAAGAACTACTTGCGTTTTGCTCATCGCATCTCTTTAGTTCCCCAAGAGCTATGAGAGATGAGATTTGCACAAAAGCATAAGATTGTACGTCAAGCTTTTCATGAACTAGTTTAAGTTTGATTAATAAAAATTTGTCTGATTAGTTAATAAGTTGCAATAGAATAAACAAACCAAGTCCGTCTTAAAGATATTTTAAGTTGGACCATTTAGCCGACCGACTCGTTTGAGGCTCTTGGCAAGTGTGTTAAAATTCTTGCATAATTTGAATTATTATTTTAATATAATTGTAGTTTTTATCAAGGTTCTAAAGAAGTGATGAAACAACTAATTCAAGGTTAATTGGTTGAATTAATGGTTGAACAAATTGGATCATTATTTAATTTCTAATATATAAAATATGTTTGGTATTAATTTTTTTTTATATGAAATCTCTTATTATTTTTTTTAATAATTTGAAGCATTCAATTGTCTTAGCTAATTGATAAAATAATTTACACATTCACAATATTTAAATATGCATTTTATTTATATTAAAATTATATTGAATTAATTTTTAAAGAAACTAAAGACATAAATAAGAATTGGTTCTTACCAATTTCCCAATCTACCTGCCAGTCCAGTCCGATTCTTAGAACTATGCCCAGTCGGTCCGGTTCTTAGAAATATTATTTTTAGACAAGAAACTTTAAGAATGATACAAACATTACATTAATTAATTAACAATTAATATCCACCGAGCTTATCCTTATGTTCTATAAGTTTGAAAAACCTTACAATTCGTCAATATGTTCGATAATTAAGCTCTGGTGTAGCTTGATAGAGAAGTGGTATTCTTCCAAACGCAAGAAAATTTCAACCGAAAACAAGGTACACTATTTTTCAAATAGAAGAAATTAAGTCAGTAGAACCAAAGTAACAGCATTTTTCTCATGAAAACAAAATGTATATGCTTTGCTGGTGGTTTTATACATACCATCACATCATGAACCATTGAAATGATTGCAGCACAGAATCAAAAATAACCAACCAACAATGAGATATCACAATTCTTTCCTCATCGAACTAGACGATTTTTCTTCAATTCGTGTAGAGAAAATACGAGCTTTTCATTGTGCACAGATGTAGCTACCTCGGCTAAATTCTGCTTTACATCAAAAGGCTCAAGGGCTTTGACTGTGTTTGGTCTTTTCCATAGACTGCTCAGATAGATACCTGGATTTCAGTAAAAAATACCATGTAAGTTTAGACAAGAACCAATGCTATTACAAAGTCTAAAGTATTGTTCTTTACAGAAGAGCCTTAAAAAGCTACCAATATCTACTTAAACTCGTGAAACCTACCTGCATCCATATTTTTCTAATAAAGGACGTTATATCTTATTACATTCACAAAACTAATGACTTCATGAGCCATTTTATTTTTTCCCATTTGAGATTTGTAAATACCCAAATACCTTTTGAAAGGATGAAATCTCGAAAGACAAAAAGACATTGGAAGATTAGTTTTCTTGATAAGAGTTCTTCTGAACTTAGTTGAACCTCGAGGGTGGGTTTTGTATTATTCCTACAAATTTTGGGAATTAGATTATAGNNATATAATAACCAGTTTATGTGATTATTGGTAGAAGTTAAGGGAGAATGATTAGTGCATTTGTAATATGAGAGTACAATGAATAAAGTTATGATTATGTAATTAAACAGAGCGACTTGTAGTAAATTTCGTGAGAAATTTTAGGAAACAATTTGAGTGTCAGGGCAATCAATTTTTTTATAGCAAATATTATAAATTCTGTCAACAGATTGGAGGCTGGAATCCCCTTTGGGTGTGTTGTGTGTACTGTTCATTTACTAGGTCAACCTCTTTTTTAGAAAAAGAAAAATCCCAACCTAAATACGGTATTTTAATTGAATCGTAAAGGGGAATTAAAAAAAAAAAAAACATTGCTAAGTATACAGTATACTGCATCAAAAAACAGTTTCAAAATTCTAGAAATATTCAGGATAATGATACTCACTTTCCCGTGTAAAAGCCTGCACGGTACCAAGCGCTTAGAACCACATCAAGATCAGTAGAAGATTTGGTGTCTTTAGCAGCATCACTTACTTCAATCCCAGCCTGTTTGTTTTCCACTGATACATACGAACAAAGTACATAGCTTAGAGGATCACACATCAAGCTCAAGTATTTCCTATTCATACCGTTACATGTGTGTGTGTGTGTGTGTGGTTTTCCCTCAACTGCCAGGACAAAAAAAAAATAATAATAATAATACACGAAAGCTCAAAATTATGTAAATTAGCTTCAGTAGATGATTTGGTGCCTTTAGCATCATCACTTTCTTCCATCCCAACAATACAAATAGTACATGTCAATTCAAATGGAATATATATTTAATCCCAAACCGGAGCATGTCTAGCTAGAACAAATATAAGTAATAAGACATCATAAATTATTCACAAGACAGCCAAAGATCTTGAAGCTGGTTAAGATACTGATGTCTGAGCAGCAGGCTACATCAATTCTCATAACACCCAACTAGCCCATTTTTCTTTTTTAACAAAAATATTAACAATAAATAAATTAATAAACTCGTGCACTAAATTCACATGCAAAAAGAATGACCAATTTCGTAGTGTTTTACCTCCATCTGCTTCCTTCTTGATTGAAGACAATGCTCTTTCGGCAGCAAACATCGCCTTCTGAACAAAATCAGAATCTCCATGAATTGTTGAGTCCTTAGACTTACCCGAACAACAAGCTGGTACTGAATTAATTGGAACAGCCCAATTTTGACAGCCGTACGGACAGTAACACGTGACAGTATCGTGGGGTTGAGGAGCACATGATTGATACCCTGAAGTGGAAGCATTAGACACAGCATGTTGATAATTCCAGCTGCTGTATTGGTTAATTTGCTGGAGAATTTGCTGCCTCTGTCCCTCGAGCTCGTAATATTTGTTCAGCAACTCGTTATATTCTTCGGGAGCACTTGAATACCACGCAGTCTCGTTTTGAGTTTGTACATCAGATGGCTTTGCAGCAGAATCCCCTCCATTGGCACCATTTTGAACATCAGTAGAATTCTCTTTGATTTGTGAAAGCTCGCCATTTTCTCCACCTTGAGCAGTGCCTTCCAGCTGCGTGTGAAGGTTCTTCTCATCATTCGGTGAATTTCTGCACCAACTCAAAATTAATAAAAAGACAATAAATCAACATTAATGTGCAATAACTGAGAATGATGTGCGAACTTTTGTTTCAAATAAAATAAAACACGCTTACTGACTCTGTCACCGTCAAATTTCTCATTCCTGCTAAGCGATAAACCTAAACGCCATAGAAAAACTAAAACTGTAACTTAGCGTTAATGAACTTACTCATCATGAGATCGGAGCATTTTGTTTCCATCGTCAGCTTCGACAGTCGTCTGAGCTTCCTCTTTGTCAGTATTGACCTCCTCCTCCACATCCGGGCCGCTTACCCTGTGCATAGCCTGCAAAATCGAGTCCAATGAAACAATGATTATTGTCATCAACACAATATATTTAAATAGGGATTTGTAAGAGATGAAAGTGCGCCTTGTATTTGGAAATGGCGTCGTCGAAGGCTTTGACTAGGGCAGAATCGTCCCAAAGGTCTCCCCCTTTCCCCATTGATGTTCTGAAGATCTGATGATTCTCCGAGCTGCCAAGAGAGAAATAAAGCCCTAAAAACCCTTCTCCATTTCAGCACTCAAGAGTCTCAGACAGATGCGAATAATTATCAAAAGAAACTAGAAAATTGTATACGTTTTATATCACCAGTGGTAAATAGTTGCTAATTAAAAAAATATATATACACATTATATATATAAAGTGTATCAAATATTCTTTTAAAAATGAATGTTTTATTTATATTTACATCATTTATATTTACATTATTAGTTTATAATAAAGAAATGAGTGAATTGACAATATTATTTAAAATTCTGAATGCTAAAATATATACATAATTAGTTTTATTTATAATATTTTTATTTAAAACACATAAGAGAATAATACGAACAAAATGCAAAATTTAGAAAATAAGATAATATGCACTTTATGAAAATAAGATAATAAATAGATTTATATGAGATAAGTTAAATATATTATCCGAGTCATATTATAAAGAACAATCTTTTGCCACATAATTACGAAGCATGGAAATCTGTCACTTAGGCTCAGTGAAAGCACGCTGAATCGTAGGGGCCCACTGCTGCCTACGCTGTTGTTTTCTTTCTTCATTTTTTTTTCATTTTATTGAAAAATATATGAAATTCCTTAAATGTCCTCATAAATCAACTTTTTTTAGTCAAAAACTACTTTTATATCCGATTTATAGGACAATTTGACAAACCCGTATAATTGAAGAGGTGTTTGTAAAAAAAATATATATATATAGTAATGAGCGAAATCATTATAATCCGGATGACAACTGTTTTACGTGCGTCATGAAAGAAAAGTGTAATATGTTGGTGTGTTATCTTATGTTCTATTATTCATATCCCAAAAGAAGCTCGATGAGTTGAGCAATATGTAATACTCCCTCTGTTTCTTAATACATGTCGTTGTAGGATGTCAACATTTTTGCAAATTAGTTGTCCTTGGAAATATTTTATTCATTCTTTCAACTTTATTTTCTTTAACAAACGTTATCGCTTATCAGTATCTTTAAAAACCAACCATTAATAATTCAAACACTAAATTTATGAGGATTAATATATCAAATTATTACACATCCCATGAAAATCGTAATTTAGAAATTTTAAATTAAAACGACATTTAAAAAGAAACAGAGGGAGTATAAGTTATAATTATTGTTGTTGTTGTTTCACTGCATAACAGAATTACAGTTTTTAGGTAGATATAATCTAGAAGTTTTAGTAATATAATCTTTTCCAATGACGGATCTAGGAATTTTATTCAGGGGGGTCCGATTTTAAATGTTAAATAACGAACTTATAATTTAAGTCGAAACGTTCATTTCATATAAAAATGTATTTACTAGTAAATAGAAATATCGATATGTGTATCATCAACTTTTTAAAATATTATAATTCGTATCACCCTCAAACTTCTACAAAAAAATAAAATAAAAATGATCGAGATTATATATCAACATCTATAATTTATGAAAAATAAGTATTCTGGTAGAAATTTTGATTTAAATTAAACATTTGTAGCACAATACATATCATTTTGTTGATGAAAGCTTATCAAATTAGCATTTTTTTAAGAAAAAAAAATTAAAGTTAAAAATATGTGATTGTCACAAAACAAACAAGTAAAAAAGCCAACATTAAAAAAAGTAACAATAACTATTCGATTTTATAAATTACTAAATGGATTTACAATTAAGAAACCGAAAGAGTAAATCATTGTAAATATTTTCAAAAATTTATCTTTAAATATAAATATAAATATTGTTAGTACATTTTTCAATAAAAAAAATAAAATTATTAATTTAAATTAAAATAGAATTGAAATTTTTTTTAATTATAAATATATTTGTAAATATTTTTTGATTTTCTATATATATTTTATTTATAGTATTATATATATATATATATATATATATTTTTTAAAATAAATGAGGGGGATCCATGGCCCCCTGAGCCTTCTTTGGTTCCGTCTATGATCTTTTCTGATATTGCTTGAGAATTATTTATTATTATTTTTTTCTATTAGTAATTTAGTATGTATTGAAACGTGTTCAAAATTAACATCGGTGCATAACTTGTAGTTTGATATACATAGAAACTTGATGCCATGGGTGAGTTAGTCGATATATAAATAAAATAGAAACGGAAGGTTTATATCATTTTATCTTTTTGTGCGAGGAAAAAAAAAAAGATTCAGTTTATAATGAAATTTGGAACTTAATAAATAATTAGTTTTAGTTGTGAACATATTTCGTTAATGTTTGAACTTTGAAGTGCGAAAAAAAAAAGATTTTTTGGGTGCTTTACTTATTTAAATCAACAATTGAATTAGAGAAAATTCTCATTAAAATATTAACAGAACTGTTGCTAGACAGAGTCCATACTTTCATACTGAAAAGCAAAGTATATAAAAAATAATATTTCACAATACAACATATAATTTTGTTAAAAATGTAAGATGGGTTGACCCGTCTCAAATTTGCGACGATCCAAAATGTATGCCTTACTGGTTAATTGTCTAGCGTTATGATGGTGTAGGTGCACCGGCCCCAGAGGATGATGGATCCCAACCAGGTGGTTTGATATCTGGCCAATCACCTCTGCATCCCATTCTTACATACAAACTCTTTCTACCTTCAAAAATCAGCAAAAATGTTTTTTTTTTTCTCAGCAAATGAAAATAATGAAATATGCATGCCTTTTGACAATTTTCTGCTAAATCTATAACTAAATGAACATACAAATAATCACATTCAACTTTTGCTTTCCCTTTTTTCCTCTCTTTTGCACCAGAAAATTGTGGAATTGCTTTTGAGAAATTTCAAGAATGGAATAAGATCAAGTACGAACACGGATTGAGAATGAAACACATTAAAGAAAGAAAGAAGAAAAAAAANAGTTTTTTATCGGACAAAACCAATCGCTTGAGAGCACTAAGAGAAGCCTGAGCCACGGCTTTGGAATAAGTCGGGTCCCATCCAGAAAGCTTCACCACTACCTCGGCATTACTATAACCTTCATTGCCATCCTCCATGTTTTTCTTCGCCTCTTCTTTTGCTGACCCCTCATCTGATATCTCAAAATTACTTAGAAATATTTTACAAAAAATGAGGGGGGAAAGTGATAATATTGAGCTAATAAGATTAGTACCCTTATTTTGGGAAGCTAAAACAAATCTTGATAATATTCCAAAAATATTTTGTCGATGATATGAAGCAACAAAAATCCGCTCAAAACCCATTTACAAATATTATAAAGGAAAGCTATGGGAGAAAACAAAAATTCTTTTACAAGTTTACATAGTAGTTTTAGAATTATGTTTTATGTTGATTGTAGCATTGACTGATCACTAGTTGCATAAGGGTGAAAAATATTCCAAAGGTATCACCAATCAAGAAAAATATACCTAAGGCGTTGACTTGAAAGTACACTATAGTTATTATATTCTTTTTTTCTTTTTATCAAAAGGACAATAATCGTCACCTTTAGCTTCGGATTGTGACAGCCAAACTGTGAATCCCGAAAAAAGATGTTGCCATTTATTTGGCCTAACTGCTGCACCATGTTTGCCTCCCAATGTAGCTACAACTGTTCTGGCTTGGCTGGTTTATATTTATCATTTACAACAAACAGATAGTTTTAATTGTGAGCAATTTGAAAAGTGAGAAGGGTAAATTGGGTAAAAACAGGTGTGCGCATGTAAGAGTTGTACCTACTAAGACTCTCCAATACAGCATGTTCTGCTTCTGCAACTGTATCAGAGCCTTCTTCCCTCACCCCTGCATTTGAATAGGAAGTTTATTACAAATAAAGCAGATTTAAGAAGAAGTTGTTCTACATTGATTCTTTAGATTAAGTATGAAAATATAAGGTCCATTTAACCTTACATGCATGAGAAAGATTGATCACATAACGCTTCCTTTCATTAAAAATTTAAAACTAGTTTTTGAGCCGTTGTATATGACATTTTTCACTGGCTTGAGAGGGAGAGAGAGAGAGAGAGAGAGAGAGAGAGAGTATTGTACTCACATGTATCAATAGTTTGCTTGGTATACGACTCGAGAAGCTCTTTCGTGCTGAGTGGAGTGTAACTGTCAAAATAGAAGCACAAAGCAATTATTCTCAAAGCACCAAAAATCGACAGGTGAAAAAAATAGACTTTTGTTCGAGAAAAGATAAAAATAATCTCTAAATCCACCGAATTCACTCAAAGAAAGTTTGAGGGCTCGTACGTACCCAAGACCAATGCCTAATTCTCGAGCCACCTTCTGGTTTATCTCTGTCGACTCCCCAACTAAAAAAACAGAAGTCCCTTTCAATAGTTGAACGAGCCCTGACGTTAAAGACTCCCAAGATTCCACTATATCAGGCCATTTTAGTTCTGGGTCTAGCTTCTTCAAGTTAACTACAAGTTGGGCATCATCTATGTACCTATTTGAAAGAACAAACAATAGGCCAAAGTTGCGAAAAAAATATGTTTGTTGTAATGGCTATGGAATAAGAGAATAATACGAATATTGAATATACCATATTGTTTCGGAAGGCTTTATCACTCCAAAGAGACTATTTGTATCTAAGAGAGTCTGTTGAGTTCCCGATTTTCTCACTTTTATCACTAAAGAGTTGTCACTAGCATCCACAAAGATGTCCCCTGGAGCTATGCTTTCCTCCCCGAGTTCCAATCTCAACTCTACCTCAGATGAATCATCAACAAACTGCATTAAGTGCAGTTATGAGCTATGACTGATAAATCCCGAGTACCAAAATTTTGTTAAGAGTTATAGAATCGGGAGAAGGGGCACAACGAAGCGCACCATAAGAATGTGAGTCTAAATGCACCTTGTCAGGTTTCATCCCAAAACAAATTGGTGGTGGGACGAGTAGCCCACTAGGCTTATAAATTACGCTCATTTGCTTATATGAGACAACTCACAACTGATATTCCGACACTTGTGAGTCCTTCATAGGCTCGGTTAGCAGAGAGTTAACACGGAGAGTTGTAGATTTCATCACACACAACAAATTCAATTGGTTTTGAGATGAAACCTCACTTAGGTGCGCTAGCCTTCTTATGGTGTGCTTCACCTCCATGTGATCACACCCCTTTCCTGAATTTATACCTCTTAACAAATTGTAACGTGGATATTTGAAAAGGCATACTATTATTACCTTTTGCTAGAAACAAGATCAAATGCTCGATACCAACTCATGCAAATATCAATCTAACCATAGATATATTATAATAAAACAAAATAGTCGAATCACTCAAAATCCAGTTATTGAGTACATCTTTTACAGGAAATGAGATCACAAAGCTCAATAGCAACTCATGCAAGTATTAGTCTAACCATAGATATATTATAAAAGAAAATAGTTGAATTTCTCAAAATCCTGTTATTGAGTACTAACCTGATCACGGTTCGATATGTGTGCATACACACCATATGCGTATATGTGTTTCTAGTGTTAAAATCGAATGGGGTGGCACTTCTTTGGAATTCAGTTTAAATTCATTGGAAGTCACTAGAGGATAAAAGGAAGGGTAAATTGCATTTTCTTACATGAAATTTTGTCAATTTCATTATCAAATCAAGCCTATACACCATGTGAGTATAACTGTATGTGTTTCTACTTTCTAGTGTTAAAAATCGAATGGGATGGCACGTTCTTCATCATCGAATTCAGTTCAAATTCATTCGAAAACACAAAAGGATAAAACAGAGAATATACTTTTCATTTTAATTCATGAACTTATGTCATTTTCATGATTTAATCAAGCCCATTTATCTAAGACAGAGGCAGAAATCCCACTACACAAGCTTCAACTTAACAACAAAGCCCATACATCTGCTCCTTTCAATAGCTACATGATTTTCGCACAAACATGTCTAATCAAACGCGCACGAAAAACCAAATAAAGACAGCAACAATTCACAAGTTCTCCAAACTCTGGAAACAAAATAAAGAAAGGACAACCTTTTTTATTTCCGAACGAAAAAATCAAAATCCGGGCAACACATAAATTGCTTACCTCGTAATGGGTTGCATTTGGGGAGACAAAAGGAACTGTGCTGCAATTACAAAACAGTGTGTTCTTATTTTTCTTGGCTCCCAATCGGAAATGTGAAGAGGAAAAATGGGTTTTGTTAAACAAGGGTTTTGGTGTGTAGGGGGAGAGAGAAGAAGGGTTCTTGGGGAATAAAGCTCGAGTCTTTGTGGGCTTGGGAGAGAAGAAGCTCAGGTTAGTGGTCATTTTGTGCTGTGGTGATTTGTTTTGAAGATAAAAAGATATACATGGAATTTGGAAAGCAGAAGGTACTTGTAACTTGTAAGTTGTAATGGAGAAGATAAAATTTACAGTGGACAAATAGTTATATAATACCCGTGGATATGTACAAAAATAAATAAAATATTATAAATTATGTGTCTGAATATACTATTAAAGTTATATATTAAATTAAATAGTAGACATATCATATTTAATATTAAAATAAAAGATTTTAAATTATGTATATATATAAATATAATATTAAAATTATAAATTAATTCATGGACATGTCATATTTCAAAACTTTGGTCATTAGAGCATCTCCAACCGGCCTTGTATACTGCAAGGAAACAGCACGATTGGAGGAAAATCATCTCCAACCGGTTCTCTTCATTTGCCGGAAACTCTGCGTTTGGGTTTGTAGAACGGTTCCCACACCGTTCCGTTGTTCACACTCTCTTCGGATTTTTCTTTTTTTTTTTTTTCAAAATGAAATTGTGTTGTATTTGCGCCTAAATGATGTATTGTGGATGAGTTTTTTTTAACTACAATTGGACTAATTAGATTAATTAGTTTTATGAGTTGAATTAAAATATTTTTATAAATATTTTAAACTTAATTATCTATATATATCTAAAAAGGTTGATGTAAACCTAAAAATAATTGAGTTGACTTTTGACTTTCTATTTATGTATTCTACTTTAATTAAGCAAATGGATATTCTCCTTAATAATGGTGATATTTCCGTTAATTAAGCATGTGAAATTGATTGTCCGTTGCAAAAATCATGGGACTTACTATCTATCCAAATACAATCCATAATTATCCATAATTATCTTATCACTTTTGGTTAATAAAAAATATGTGAAATTGATTGGCCGTTGCAAAAATCATGGGACTTACTATCTATTCAAATACAATCCATAATTATCTTATCACTTTTGGTTAATAAAAAATTGTATAAAAGGATATTCACTACCACCATTACAACTCATCATTCACGAGTTCAGAGAAAAAAAAAATACAGAGAAACAAACCTGTTTTGCTATAATGCTTCCAGGGGTACACTTAGTTCCGTTAACAAAAGAAACAAACCTTTTTTTCTGTCTGAGAGCAGTCCGCATTATTGAAACCCATCACGAACGGGAGAGCTGTAACGCATTTAAACAGGTAATATTTACCTTTGTTATTTCAATTTTATATAATTTAGAAAATTATTTTAATTAATATTTATAAATTTGTATCGTAGGGTGCTTTCATTATATGCATAATACGTTATCCGAATATGAGAGCAACAAACTTTATATAAACTGAGAGCAGTCTAATTTTTGTAAAATATGTAAACTTTAAACATTTTTTTATATATAAAATTGTATATACTTTTAAACATGTTAGTTGGGCAAATTTTAAGGATATATATGTGTGTGTATGCTAACTTTAAGTATATATATTTTTCTTATAAAATAGTCTAGACAAAATTGAGGTAATTTCACATTTTTCAATAATCTATACTTATATTAAAAGCTATACTATTTACTAAATGTAGTATGTAGAATAGTCAACCTTAATTAATGATTTGCTATTTTTATCAATCATTTAATTAATGCATCTAATATTTTTGGTATGCAAATCAAATTAGCATTTAATTAATTCCTAAAATATTGGATATGCAATATTAATTTAGGAATATCCATGTAGTTCCTAAAATGTTGGTATGCAATACGTAAAAGAAGATTTTTTAATTTTTTTAAATATAAAATATTGCAACACGTAAAACTATTCCAGTTATTTTTTTATTTTATTTTACATATAAAATTTAATCAATATTTAATGTATCCTACAAAATTAGATTTAGTTTAATTCTCCATACAATTGGTTGTAACTTTTTCAGTTGTACATTTATTTATTTATTTATTTTACACTTTTAAATTAATGAAGCTCTCCGAACATTATTAGGTAGTTTCAAACATTATTTGTGAATAATATAGAATATTTTAGATGCTTTTATAGATGTTATAAAATATTTTAAGTATTTTTAATATTTATATATCACACTTAAAAAGAATATTTTGTCAAAAAAAAAAACATTAAATACACATTGTAAATGTTAATAAAAACAGTCTTCAGTATTCATCTTTGATTTTGTCAAAACAAATCTCATAAAATCGGTGAAGTCAAAATTTGTACGTAAAGTCTATCTATACTAAAAAAATGTAGATTCAAAATTCTTTATCTAATTTCTTCTTTTCCTTATGTAATTCCTTCTTATTATCTAATTGTATATAAATCTCTTCTGATTTTGTTCAATCCTCTAATTGTATTTGTATCATATCCATAAAATCAGTTTAACAAAAAAAATCTCATAACATCCGATAAGTCAAAAAAAGTACGTAAAATCTTTACTAACATAAAAAAGGCTTTATTTATTATCTAATTTATTATCTAAATGTATGGAAATCTGTTCTGATTTTATAGTACGTACTACAAATTGTGCACCCGTGTTCAGGAGCTACTTAACGGGCAAGCTATGTGAAAATAACTCATTTAGTGCTTCTGTCCCGTGCATACGGTATATATTTGTATTACACATACTAGAAAATTGTGCATCTCGTGCATCGCACGGACTCTGTATTAATAAATGACCTTAAAATTGTGCACCCCGTGCATCACCCGTGTTTACATTTTGTCCTATTACAAGTCACGTACTATATATATCCCGTACATTTTTTTTTATTCATTTATATAATTATAAGACTTGATAAATAGTCTTAATTTTGTGCACCCCGTGCATCGCACGGGATCTGTACTAGTAATATAAAATATTTTAATACTTTCACATATGTTATATAATAGTCTACGTATTCTTAATGTCTTTTGGTTGTAACATTGTTAACACATATAATATTAGATACTTTTAAACATATTTAGATAATTTTTTTACTCATTCTTTAATATCTATGTGCATAAAAAGAGAATAAGATTTATAAAAGATTTCCGGCAATATACTAAATGTTAGATAAAAAATCTCATTTTATTTGTTATATAATATTTCGAGTTGCATTAATTTTGATTTGTATGTGTAAAATTGATAAATTAAGCGTATGAAAAGGAGCGTACGAATTACTGTAAGGATTTAAAAAATAAAAAATAAATCTAATTTTTGAATACTTTTTACTAACTTCTAAACGAATTTATGTCATAATTCGTCACAATTTTCCCACATTATGTCAATATTTATTTTATATATACTAGGTAAAAGGTAAATCATTATCTCAATATTTATTCTATATATTCTAAGTAAATCTTCTCATCTATCTCAACGGTCCGCAGGTAGTATTTCATACTTTTCTATTCATAATCAAATATATCAAAGCTTCACAAAGAAAGTGTTCAATAATTTATATTTTTTTTCCTTCTTTGCAATCCATTTATTTTTGTACATATATATAAATTATATTATTTTTAATATTTCACACGTTAAACATTTCAGGAAAATATACCATCTCGTGCATCGCACGGGCTACGCACTAGTTGTAATTAATATGGTAGAAATTTAAGTAGTATAATGAAAAATTGAATACTTTTATTAATTAATATGATAGAATATTAATTAGTACTTAAATTCACTTAAATAAAAATTTCAAATAAACAAGTTAAAATTACAAAATAAGGATAAACATTCAACTCACTTAAAATTAACGTACAAACACTAAAATTAAAATCACAACATAAAAATAAACTAAAAAACCCATCTTAAAGCTCACACATACTACAACAACAATAATTAATATGGAACATAAAAATAAAAACTAAAAAAGGATTATAAAATAGACGGTTTCATATACTTAATTGTCACCATAATAATCATTCAAATTTCCACCGTCATGCCCGATGTCGTCGAGAAATCCAAACTGACCCGTGTTAGATGATGGTTGTGTTGCTTGAGATTGTTGTTGCTCAATTTCTCTTTCTTGTAAAATTTGCATTTGTTTTTGTTCCCAATGTCGACGTATCATGGGATTCGTAAGGGAATTCAAATCTATCATCAAAATTCTATCTTCATCTCTCCTTTTCTGCAAATCGATTTGTTGTTTCTGCAATTGAAGCTGGATATTTTGACGTTCTTCGGCTTTCTGCAACAAATCAACAATAGTATCGCTTTTAGCATTTAGAGTTTGAAAATATTGGCAAAATTGGTCTTCATTTTTCTTCTTCAATTTGCTTTTTTCGCTCCCGTTGGACGTTGAGAAGATATTCCACCAACACCATCGTCACTTTGTTGAGGACTAAAAGACGACAATCCCGGAGACTCTGGTGTTGGTTGTCCATCATATGAAACGTCGGACTAGGAAGAGTCATTGAGTGTATTAAAATCCCGATGACGAGATCGTGGTTGGGACACATTATCATCAAATTTTCCAAACTCTTTGAATAGTCGGAACACATGTTGAAACTTGAAGCCATCTTTATATTTTAGGTCTTGTCAAACAATTGTTCGACTTGCTCAATCTACAAACAAAGTAAAGATATATAATTGTAAGTATACTTATAAAACAAGCAAATAACATGAACCAAGATTGAACTTAAAACAAAATACTCACCCTATCTTGGATTTGTGTCCCACTAGGATTGCGATATTCGATTTGCTTCAAGCATCCATTAAACCTCCGACAATGAGTTTCCATGAGACGGTAACGAGAGTCAAGAGACCTTATTGAGCGTTCTGGTAAATCTTTGTGTTTATGGGAGTTGTATTCATCATGTATTTTTTTTTTTTTTTCAAAAGGTTAAAGAACTTTGATCATTTGATGATATTGGATTTTCCGAAACACTTATGTAGCATCTAACAATTAAGACATCTTCCGATTTGGAGTATTTTGGCCCTTTTGAAGAAGACATTTTGAAGAAAATAAGATATTGAAGAAGAGTGGGAACAAGAAGACTACAATAATGGAAGGAGAAATGAGATATGTGTGTGGTTGCTTCTTGAAGTGTGATGTATAAATAGATAAACGAATTCACACGCACAACAAGTATAGTTGTACCATTTGTCATCCTATGCAAA